CATAATTGCTAAATGAAATTGGCTGTAAGTAGTTTTTAATTGGATGTGCAAATTGTCTAACAGTTTTTCATCTAAAACATATTTTCTAATTTTGTTTGAGCAACTTCATCTTCTTTATCTAAAGATACCAAAATGATATCGCAAACGTGGAGCTGAAGTAATTTAAAAAAAACCAAAATAAAAACCTATTTACCAACAGTTACCTCAGCTGCCTTTGAGGTCAATGATAACATTTCAGTGGTGAGATGAATTAGACTCTCATATGCCAAAACTACTGCCCACTTTGACACCAGTAATGGTCCATGTATCTGTTGGTAAAATCTATCTCTGAAATGGTATCCTACACACTCCATTCCAGTAAGTTACTGCGTGGACAATCTTGTGCCCCATAATTTTTTGTATGGATTTGAAACAACTTACTCTGTATTCCATAGTTACTAACCTAGAAAATATGCCTGCATCAGTCATACATAATGCTTCCAGTTTTTATGCACTTCAGTAAAAGAGCTATAATTGCTTCTAGTTACGTTGCATGTTGACTTCCTTAGCAGTAGGGTGCTTTCCTTAACAGATTTGCAGAAATCAATGTATTAAGTAATCTAAATACATGTATTGCCAATTAGTGTAGATCTGTTTGGTAAAGAATTTACAAGGGGAAAAAGTCTATTTCCCTCCTATTAATCTATAGGACTGCTTTTATGGCTAACTCCCAGATACTACTGTAAGAAAATCTAGTGGACAAAGGGAGCCTAGAATTCTCTAGGTCTCCATGCAGTTTTTATTTAGACAAGTAGAACTTATTACTTACATCCCTAGATCAGACATAGTATGTTAGTTGCATACTACATAGAATAACACCTTTGCTTTTATGCTGCTTCTTGAATTCATACAATTACTCACAAAAAAAAAAAAAGTAAAATTATCTGGCTTATTTCATGATAGAAATCCCCAAAACTTTAATATTATCACGTAAAACTTGTATTTGACAATTTCTAGTCATGCATTGCAGTGCATCTATTATGGGTGTTAGAGAACTGCATTATAAATGCAGCACTTACTTATACCATCACCTTCTGATAGATTGTGTGTGTGGAGTGGGAGATGAACGTTCCAAATTATACAGGCTTGGTTTTCAAGGTCCTGTTCTGAAAGCATGTGAGATGTATGAGCATATAAATTTACATGCCCAAGTTTAAGGAAATCTATATTTTCCATGCTGTAGGTTAACACATTTTAAGTAATGCTGTGCTCTTTTTGGACATACTAATTTTCATCTCTTCATTTTGATTTTCCTTTATAGTGATCATTGCATATTTTCTTCACCTCTAATGCATTCATTTTTCTTGCGATAGAATTAATGTGATATCTTCTTAAACTGACTCATAAGAGGTTTTTTTCTAACATACCTATCTCATTAATTTACCCATGTACTAAGAAGTCTTAATCACCTTTAAAGTAAATGGATACTGAGTTTATGAGGTTTTATATTTTAAGCCTGTTTGATATTTTATTTTGTGTAATAATAAAACAGATGCAAAAGTGCCAGAAAATGTTTGTATGGTTTAAAAAGACAGAAAGATAGGAATAGAGATTTTTTCTGGGAAAGATTTATGAAAGGTATCTAATACTGATAGAATAGTGGACTTAATCCACCAAATTTTACTGGGAATGGAAGAGTTTTAAAATGTGGTATGAAAATATGCATTTTGCTGTTTTTTGGGGGAGTGATATGAGGCAGTAAAAAATTATATTGAAAAAAATATTGTGTGAATAATTTCTTGTCCTATATTTGTCATTTTATGTGTTTGGACTGATCCTTCCCTTAGGTGTTATGGGATTTAGAGAGTATAATGCAGGTAAGTTGTACACAGATCAATGAGGCCTTCCATACAGTAAGTTATCTTTCCTCTTCCATGTCAAGCAGCAGGGGAGAATAAGGGTTTAGTAGTTTGCTAAATCTCAAATAGTTAATTTGAGATTATAGATTTAATCTCATAGATTTAAAAATTCGAGGGTTCTCAAACAACAGAAGGCAAGAAGGAAAATAAAAAGTGGCCCTTTTACAATTTTCATTTCAGAAAAGAAAAAAATGGAAAAGAGATAATGCAAACAATGGAAGAAATATTTGCAGATTATACAGTCAATCTAGTTTGATTCTAGAAAATATAGAAGTCTTTATGTGCTTAAATTAAAAAAGGTAAATTAACTATGGTATGATATGTCTGTGAGGACATTTCCCTCCTTTAAACCTTTTGAAATAAGTGCTAATCTTACTGACAGCAGTGCAAAACACTCTGAAAATATAAAAATTGCAAAACAATCCTAATGCATTGTACAAAAGAAAGCAAATCAGCTGGTGAGATAAATTTGTGCTTTGTTTTCTCTAATTTCACTGGTTTTGCACCATACATCATCTTAGTGTGGAGGATCTTCCTCCAAGAAATGTTTAAGCTTTCTATCCTTTACGTATGATGAAGTATATGGAAAGATTCTGCCTCTTGTGAATGGACAGTACATATATGCTCAGAATGTCTAAATAATTAATATTCATTTCAAAATTCACTCAATACGGTCACACTTCTTAGGATCATGTTGCTGCTATTTTTCATCATATTCCAAGGGTTTAGAGCAACATTTTTATCACTTTAAGGTATCAAACATTTAAAACATTTAATACTTCATGTCTCTATTTGATTAGCTATGCACTGTCACCATATCTGTGTTGGATAATGGGTAATTTACTGAGTATATATGACTGTTTTAAATAATGAGGAGTGTCTTGAGAAACAGAGTTTTCTCTTTTCCTGCTGTTTGACCTTTTATCTAAAGCATTTTAACAAAGGCAAAGTCAAACTTCAAACACGTAGGAAAAGACAAAAAAATATCAGCCTAGAAACTCATGGTAATACAAGTCTTTTTACCATATATGTAGGGTTTATATTACATATTTTATAAATGTTAATGTCTGCCTACATACTAAATATATTTGCCTGAACCCAAACCATATAAAACAGCCTAATCAAAATGATAAATTAAAACTAGAAAAATTATTAGAACAGTAATCTGTGATTTTTTTTTTTCATTTTTTTTCACCTAACAAATAAATAAAATTACTGCAAAAGTCACTGGTGAAATTTTGTATGTAAAACCTCATCATTTTGTCCTTGTCCATAGAAATTTTTAGAATTGCATAGAATTTTAGGAAAAGCAGAGGGGTTTGTGTGCTAATTATAAAACATTCTGTCTTGTTACTGAATAAGAAGCACTTTTTTTTTTTTTTAATAAGCATTGAATAGCCTCAGAATTGCTCCTTAGAGGACTAGCAGAGAGAATCATTTTGCAAAGGTTTCATGCTTGACCTCTGGAAAAAAACCAAACAAACAAAAATAAAAAGAAAGCTTGGACAGATGTTTGCTACAAAAGCACAGTTTCAAGGAATGGTATATCGTTTACTGCATTCTTGGAAGATAGCACCAGAATCTTCCTGGCTTGCATACAATCCTTTGATTGTGATGAATATCAAAACATTTGGAAGACTAGAGGTATATTGAGATAACTGAAATTTTAAGCGAGCTATTCAAGACTGAAGATTCTATTGTTTCACATTTGCTTTCTGAGAATACTCAAGGGATCTAGTTTTCTGAATATTAATTCCTTTGGGAAAGGAATTTCAGAATTTTGTGTTTGGATGTTCATGGAAATTAAATTTAAACATTCTTTCCAGAACATCCATGCATTACTTGCCATCAAAAAGTAGAAATAATGTAATGTACTATCTCTCAACAATTAAAAAATATTCCCCTTTTCTAATGTACAGTATCAATAAATTGAATCCGACAATTTTGAACACAGTGGTATGTACTATGCACAGTAATGAGGTCGAGCACATCCAAGAATTCAGCACACCTCTAGGTCAAAAGCACGGCACAGATTTGTACAGCAAATGATCAAAACAAAGTTCCCATCCCACAGTTCAGGTTAAAATTTAGTAAACAAAGTCCTTTCCATTACCAAGGACCTTCTTTCAAATGCTAGATGGTTCCTCCACTGAAGGAAAGATAAGACATTAGGGGGTTGGTTTGTTTGGGGTTTTTTAATTGGAATTCCCTTACTGGTAGGGTTCCTTAAACTGTTACCTAGCCTTAATTCTAGAGTGCTAAGTATAAATATCAAAGCTAAATCCTTTGCTATTATATAAAAAGCGTTGTTTATGTTCTTTTAGCATCCTGAGGGCAGTGTTGTTTCTGAAGCATTGAAGGGCAGTAGTTCTCACCAAGTTGTAAATGATGCTAAGCGATCAAAGTGTTCCCCTCTGACAGGTGTTATGTGACTGCAGCATCGTAGGTGTCTTTTTTTTCTATTCATTGCACATTTTCACAGCTGCTTTACTCCATGAACTTTTAAATATTTCTTTTGGTGCAGTACATTATTTCTTTGATTTATAAGAGCAGACGATAATGAGCTTCAGCAAAAAAAAAAAAAAAAAAGAAAAAAGTGTCATTAATACTTATGTCTATATTCATGTTTCTTTGTTGTCTTGAATACAGGTGAATCTGGTGTTGAAGAGTGGGCCCAGTGGAGTACGTGTTCAGTTACTTGTGGTCAAGGGTCGCAGGTGCGAACCAGAACTTGTGTATCACCTTACGGGACACACTGCAGCGGCCCTTTAAGAGAATCAAGGGTTTGCAATAACACTGCCCTCTGTCCAGGTAGTGTTAGCAGCCAATCAATAAAATTGTGGATGTTTTTGAACTGTCTAATGCTAAGAATTTGAACCTCTATATTATTTTATTATTACTCTTATTATCGTTAACACGGATTTCATAAGGGCATTTCAGTGAAACCAGAGAATTGTCATTCTGTTCAGCTGTGAAATTTTGTCATCTAGGTTGTTATTTTTACTTTCAGAACCGTCAAGAGATGGAACAAGAGCCCCTTTTATTTCTGACAGTTTCAGATATTTTTTTTTTAATGTCTATATTCTCTCATTTTCACTCAGAAAAGAGAAGGTAACATGAGTACAAAGGCAAACTAGGGAAGACATCCAGATCATCAATATATTAAGAGGCAGAGACTAATTAACAGGGTGGGTTAACATATATTATTTGACACTGCAGTTGTTTCACCATTTAGAATACTCTCTTCTAGGCAATGAGCCAGACAATGTTCTCTGCACAGTAATGTCTTCATGGATTTCCCTTTACATTGTTCTGGCAAGAAAGGGCAACAGCTACCTATCAAAGCAAAAAAGATCAGACAAAAGTAACTCTCTTACATCTGACACACGGTAAAGGTCATCAGTATCTTGCATCAGAGTTTTCCTACTCCTTTTGTCTGAGAGATCTGGACATAGTTGGAGTTCAGCAGTAGTTATACACTAAGGAGAAGAGACAGGTATGTTCAAGTTAGTTGCTGAAAGGGCACATCTCCTTTCTTTAGACTGTACCTGTGGATCTGATTAATCTGCAATGGGAAGCAAAAGGGAAGGCATATGCCCCATGACTACTTCAATTTTCCTCTGCTGTGACTGAAAACCAAAAAAATATACGCCATCCTTCAGATGCACAGATTCCTCAGGTCTTTATAACATTTGATCCCAAGAGGATGGTGAGACATCTTCAGCTTCTGGGGAAGGTCACTCCATATTTGAAGTAAACTAAACTGTCATACTGAGAACCCTTGGACTTTATCTCATGAGTAGTAATATGCAGAATCAAACTCTCATACTGTTACTGTGTGTTGAAAACTGTCCAATTGGAAGTGCATATGTGATCCCAGCAGAGTTTGTATATCAGCATTGTAAGCATTTAGGGAACCTCTGTAATGGAAAGCAGCTTAAAATATTGTCTCAAGATAAACTAAAGCTAGATTTAAAGATTTATTTGAAACTGTGTGAAGTATGGACATGAAAACACACAGTCCAGCTCTCACAGTGAGAGGCAGTTCTACCTGCTTTTGTGCTTGTTAGTATTACCTAAAAGGTGGAAAATGGTGGATTTTAATGGTTAAATCACCTAATTTTCAGGATATTATGTTCATTCTCTCCAATAAAGGATAAGAACTTTTCATACAAAAACAAACTAACAAAAAATCCAGGTAATGCAAATGTCAAGGTAATTTTTGTTGTCAAAGTAAACTGAAAAAAGCTCTAAAAACTACATTGTCAAGCAAACTTCTAAACAATACCCTCACAAAAAGATTGCTCCATATTTTTCAGGTCACAAACTAGCTCTTTCCTTACACCCTTCCGCTTCAGGACATGGCTTTTGTTTCCAGATACCCAGTATGAGTAATGGCTACCAATTCTCAGTGTCTGTATTGCCAGGATATTTTCAGCTCACCACATCTGATTCTGATAATCTCTATGTATCTCGAGTTACCTTTCCTAAATAAATAGTCTTCTGGGCTTAATTTTGCATGTTGTTTCACACAATTACAATAACCTTATTCATTTATCCTAGTCCCTCTCTGACTACAGGGTCACTACTGTGTGACAGTGTGCAAGATTAGCAATTTAGAAATGTGGTTTTCCTCAGCACAGCTCCATTAATTTTTCAAACATACCTTTAATTAGTAGCCTAAATATCCTCTGCCCTCACGTATCCTGACTCAGAGAGTTGCACAGTTCAGGATTATCCCTGGTCCATGCATGATTTGTACACTAGTGTATTTAAAACACACATTTGACAAAATGACTAGTAAAAAGGTGGGAGGTTTTGTGAGAGCTGAAATAATGTTTCCTAATCAAAAAGTAACCCCTTCAACAGAAAAAAGTGTGCAGGATGGGCTACAGTACTATACTTGAAGCATCTGTTCACAGGCTTCAAGGAACCTGTTGAACTTGCAAATATGAATGCAAAGTTCCAGACTATTTTTACATATTGCCTTTATATACTCTTTATATACACTTTACATACTATATATAGTGTGTAAGATACTCTCTGGGATTGTTAGGGAATGCATCTCTCTGTGATCTCAATGTCCTGAAAAACTTTGAAAATGGGATTCACCAGCTTCATAGACAGATAGATAGATAGATTGAAATAGAACTTTAAATTTTAAATTAATATTCCAGATAATTCAGGTAAAATAATGAAGGAACCACTATTTACATAATTTTGGTTGATTTCTGTTTGCTCTCATCTAGAGAAGTGCAGCATTGTAGGCAACAAAACATAGCTCAGGTGACCTTTGTTGTCCCAGGTTCTTTTATGAGTGGGGACACCTCAGGATCCAATACTGCAATGCTGCTGATTCATTTCAGTTTAGTGAATTATTTCTAATACAGCTAAAATTTCAAGGAGCAAGAACATGGAATTTCCATGCCTGCAGGTCATCTCAGTTTCTGTTTCTCCTTCTCTATTGCCTTCAACATCAGAAAACTTATCTGAAGCTCAACATTTTCAGGCTTATGGGTAAAGCAAGACATGGCAGGAGCAGGAATACCCTAAATCATTTCAAATATTTGTATTCTCAAAAGTTATATTTTTTCTGGTGTGATATGCTTATCTCTCTTTTTTTCTCTCCCTTGTTCTATCAGGCCCCCTTTAAGTACTGGAAGGACACAATAAGGCCTCCTTGGAGCCTTCTCTTTTTCAGACTGAACAACCCCAACTCTTTTAGCCTGTCTGCATAGGAAAGGTGTTCCATCCTTCCGATCATCATTGTATCAGTAATCTGGACACACTTCAACAAGTTCATGTCTCTGCTCTGTTGAGAGCTCCAGAGCTGGGTGCAGTACTCCAGGTGGGGTCTGTCCAGAGTGAAGTAGAGGAGCAGAATCACTTCCCTTGATCTTCTGGCCATGCTTCCTTTGATACAGCCCAAGATTTTGCTTTCTGGGCTTCAAATGCACATTGCTGGCTCAGGCCCAACTTCTCATTCACAAGCACCTCCAGGTCCTTGGCAGGGATGCTCTCAATCCCTTTATCTCCCATCCTGTATTGATACTGGGTGGCCCCAAGCCATGTTCAGGACCTTGTTGAACCTCATAATGTTCACATGGGCCCATTTCACGAGCTTGTCCATGTCCCTCTGGATAGCATCCCATCCCTTTGGCTTGTCAACCAAACCTCTCAGCTCGGTGTTGTCTGCAAACTTGCTGAGGGTACATTTGATCCCACTGTCTATGCAATTGGGAAAGATATTAAACAGTACTGGACCAGTCTTTTCAGTATCTGTTCAGTCTAAAGCTGAAAACATCAAGAGCATTTAAACCCCAATAAAAATCTCCCAAAATAAGCTTGTAGGATGAAGGCCAACATGGCCTCACGCCTCCTCCCACTTCACAGCCGTTGCGTATTGTGAACACTGTGGGTGTTCACTTCAACACGATTAGGTTCACAGAGTGGCAGAGAGAAGGGAAAGATGCTCTGCAGTAATCCAAACTCGTTGTGCTAGCAATGTTTTTGAAAGATAAGTTGGCAATAATCTGAATATTTTTGTCCCAAATAATGAATCTTGCATCTGAAACTGTGTTATAGAAAACAGTAACTCCTCTGCGGGCCAGCTCTCCATCTGGTGTAATTTGGCATAGCTCATCTGGCTATATTTCATCAGATGTTATAGGGTATTTTTGCATTTAGAAAATGGTATTAAAGAAAGTAAATGTAAATGAAATACCGGAAAAAAAAAATTCGGAGGTAAGAAATTTTAGATTAAGATGTCCTTTAAAAGCTGATCTGAATAATACTGGACACTTCTGTAATGCTTTGAACAGATTAATTCTCCTTCATATTTGTTTGCTGACATTGGTTGTTTTCTTAGTGTTATACCTTTCCATAAGTGTAAAATTTGACATAGAATATGATTTTGAGCACAATTTAATTTAAACCACAAACAGATAGAGGCTGCTCTAAGTTTGAGTCCACCCAAAGTGAAACATTTTGTTTTGGCTTATGTTCAGATCCAAAGAATTTATCTGTGTTGCTGCTAACATGCAGTCACTCTTGCCAGAAGAAATATTCAACCTTTTGGTTTAAGACAGTATCTTTAAAGAGACCCTCAGCACATGTTTTTGTCATTTTTAAATGCAGACAGCTTAGAACATTTTGACAGCGTAAAATGAAAATTCCTGATAAAGCAATGGACTTTAACTCATATATATGCTGAAAAACCTCACCCTGGATCTACATAGCATCCATATATATGCTGAGAAACCTCACCCTGGATCTACATAGCATCAAGATCTTTCTAAATTATTATTTTTCTAGGGAATAATCTTTTTCTAATTTGGATTTATTTTGTTTTCCTAAGTTTAATACTTTTTAAAGTTCTTGTGCATCTGAACATCTTAACAATTGTGGCATCAGGAGATGAAATTATGTTATTGTTATTACTGACTACTGTTTGGAATCTGATCTGACAAATTGCTTTCTCCATAATTTTGCTCATATGATAAAAACTGGAAGTCTTACACATAAGTCTGGAATCACATTCTAAAACTTTGCCAATAAAAAATAGTCTTCAGATCATATGGCTGAGTCAGCATAGCTGTCAAAGTATAGCACCTGTTGGGAACAGGTGAAACTTAAAGGATTATATGCAGGTCTAGTCATCAGCTCACTAGTTTTAGAAGAGTTAGACTCTCTGCTTTTGACCAAAATGTCACAGTTAATCAAGGTTTTTAAAATAACTAGACTAAAATCTGTCACTTTAGCATTAATTTGGACTGCTCCTGAGGGTTGGGTTTTTTCCTAACATAGTGCAGATGGATGTGATATTTAGAATAAGATAATTTTAATCAAGCTAGCCATGTAGGACGTGGTTCTTTTTGGCCACTTGCACGTGACCAAGTAAAAACCTTTCCTCGATTGAGCTGTTATGCAGAGGTTTGAAAATCTTCCCTGAATAAAGCTTGACATTTTCTGTCAGGTACGATTTCTCAGAAGTTAGCTGACAAACTTTTTATCTCAGCATAGCATCTGAAATGACAATTTTTCTTACTTTTAATGAAAGGCAATAGAACTTACCTGCATGCAGAATTCCCCTTGATCTTACTGATGAATTTGTGATAATATACCAGGGAACTGAACGTCCTTCTGCACCCTTGCAAGTGAATTTCACCTCAGGAAATCTTATTCTGATCTCTACAAGAAAAGAGTTGTATCTGTAGAAACTGGGCAGGTGATACTTGCCTTCAGGGCAGAGGAAACCTATATACCAGAAGTTCTTTCACAGTGAAGAAAAAAAAGTGAGGACAAACCAGAAAATCTATTTCTCTGTAATGTTGGGAATCATTTCCAATGATACAGGCAGATATTACACACAATTTCCCCCTCCAGACACCTTTCAAACAGACAGGTCTGCAGAGACACAGAGAGTTATGTGGTACCAAGTGTGTTGTTCAGTCTGGATACTAAGTCTGTGTTTTTTTCTTAAATGCTTAATGTTACTAGTTACACTACACTCCTGTTCTCACAGAAACTTATTTAAACCTGTGCAACTGCTTTTAAATTAACAAAAGTTTGTTTTGCAGTATTTTTCAATTTGTAGAGAACTGTTTTACTAATGCATGTATGGAATTGTCTTACCAGTACATGCTTACCTATAGTATATTAGAGAACTTCCTGAAAATATAAGTCCAATCTTTTCTGAAAAGGGATTGCATATGGTATGTAACCTCACATGGATATCATATACTGAGTTTTTCCTACAGTAGAAAATACTTAAGGTAGAAAAAATGCATCTTCTCTGATTCATTATATTAATTTTATGACATATTTGTGTATAAAAAATATTGGTATATGTTGGTAATTTATTGTGTGATTTGAAGGTATTTGAAGCTTGTTGATTGAACATTTTTCTCAGATAGAGTGATGCATGTATTATTGTGTCTGTTAAAGCAGTGAATATGTTCATGAAAGGAAATGCTGCATATCTTTTTTGCTTATGTGGTCTTGGAATTTTAGAGGAAGATAATCAAGCACATGTGCTGCCATATTTCCAACAGAACTTATACAATTGAAAAAAATGTAAGGTAGCAGCCCCAATTTCTGATTGTAACATGGTAATAAATTATTGCATTTATCCCTATAATTTCAAAAGAAAGCTTTATTTGGATGGCTTCTAGTTTTTGGAATTGCCTTGATTAAGAAAATATGTGCCTGATTTTCACAAAGACTAGGCTCCTGAAAATCAGGACTGTTAAACATATCTCAAGTCAGGCACCAAAGATGTCATAACTTACTTTTGAAAAGGAAGTCATCTTTTTTAAAAGAGTGAAAGAACAGCAAATATGATAGTGAGATTATTTTAGAGAGTAGAGAAAATATTACAAAGTTAAGTGCATTTTAGAGAAGATAGGATTTTGAAATTGAAAGTATTTGTTTTCTAATGTTTAATAATACCTATGTACTGATTTCCTTGAAGTCAGTAAAATAATTCCCATTTAAATTATTGATCTTACTTATTTTGAAATCCTTCTGTGACTTCTTTGTCTGTTTCTGGTTAAAATCTGTCTGGTTTGTTGCAGTACATGGCGTTTGGGAGGAATGGTCACCTTGGAGTTTGTGTTCATTCACATGTGGTCGAGGCCAAAGAACTAGGACAAGGTCATGTATACCTCCCCAGTATGGGGGAAGATCATGTGATGGACCTGAAACACAACACAAACCTTGCAATATTGCACTCTGCCCTGGTGAGCTCATATAGCAACTCTCTGCTTTGTTACAGTGCATTTGATGTGGGTTGGGTTGGGTTGTTTGTGGTATCTTTTATTGCACTTTGCACATAGGAATAAACCCAACGATATCCAAAGTGAGTAGATGGGGCAATTTTGTTCATAATTCTTACTGTACCTGTTAAAGTATATAATCAGGGTGGTGACTCTGTTCAAGTCACTACACTAGCAAATAATTTTTAGTTTCTTCAAGATACTCTTTCAGTAGGGCACAGTATGTTGTGTAGCAAATCTTGATTCAGGAGGGTCTCAGAGAACCAAAAGGCAAACAACAGAGTATAGCTTAAAGACACTTCAAAGGTCACACAGTTTGTGTCCACCATATCTGTTTGAATTATATCTGCCTAGAGGTTGACTGTAATTAGTTACTTATCATATAACAAACATATTTGAGAAACCATGATATTTAAACTGTTGATTAAAAATGGATATTATTTACATGTGTACAGACAGAAAGGTTGACACAAGCTAGGGCATAATTTGGATTGGATTACCAGACTCTTATGGTAACAATTATAAGTGCTTCATTTCTGGGATTTATTTGCTAAACCACTTTCAAAAAACTACCACCACTAACCAAATAAACAATGCGTTGGCTTCATGTTAAACCTTTCACCCCCGAAAATTGAAACTAACTAAAAGAAAAATATATCTTCTTTTAGAATCGATTTTTAACTTTTTTACATAGATTAGGGTTAATTTAGACCACATTTTTTTTAAAAAATGTGTGTATACATGTACGTGTAATCCTGTATATGTCTATATGATCCCCGAGTTTTCCAAAAAGTTCAACAAACATAAAGAAGATTATATATAATTAAAATTATGGTTATTGAACTGATTGTAATACTTAGGAATTAAAGAATGTCCTGTCTGACAGAGTGAAGGTTCCCCATGCAGTGGGTTTGTTGAATATCCACAGTTCACAACGCTGCTGCAAATAAATTCTCCATGACCAGATCTCTTCCTGAAAAGGATTTATAGGCATTTCATTAGCAAATGGTTGCTTGATGATTTGAAAACTGAACTGAAGCAAAACATGAGACTTAGTGCCTCATAGAATTAAAACTAAAATTCTTAGATTTTTATGAAACCTCAACGTTGCTTTTTTTCTGGTCAGCAAAGCATATTCCAAATTTAGGACAAAATTTGTGGAAAAGTCTTAGTGTTGAATGCAACTACAAAAATTTTGCATTAATTCAATTTTTGGCCAAATTGGCAGCTGTGCAATTTTACATGTGCCTAAACCAAAGTAACTAACATGATATATGAGCGTAAAGCAGAGTTGTCAATAAGAGAAATGCCAAATAAAGCAACAGAGAAGAAATTAATGTGTTCAGTTCACTTCAGTACTGCAAAGAAACACAAAAGATATTACATACACCTAATCTGTCAAAATAAACACTTAATTGAGAATTCTGGATTTTGAACAGTCAATTGTACCTAAATGTCTTTCAGAGGAAGTTACATCCTGTTACATCTAAAAGTAACACTTGAAATCTTTATACAATGTTAAGATTCACTGTAGTTTGCATCTTCAGTTTTACAAGGGAATCTTCATGTTGTATTCTTTATCTTTGAACAGTATTTCTAAATAGAAAACTCACATGCTATTTGCTCTTGAAGATAAAGAAGGGAGATGTATGAAATATATATGAGAAGCCACGGAATGAGTTTTCTCCAAAGACAGTATAATAATTGATTCGATCTTTCCTACCCTAAATAATACTATATAGCAATGAATAAAACTGAAGAGGGTGCATTGAAATGTAATTTCCATAATGTTTTCCTCTTCACATAAAGCTTTTATGATTAATGAGTGGAACTAGCTTCCATGTTTGGAAAGATTTCCATTTTCTGCTGAATAAATTATCAGGGCACAGCTTCATAGCTTCAGAGGCATCTGCATTGAGAAGTGGTTCACAACCAGGCATAACATAGAATATTTAATATAGAACTTTAGGGAAAAGCCTCAAAAACTTTCTTCCTTTAATTCACTGCTTGCTGAGATCCTGGATGTTAGAGATATGGATAGTATCTCTGAACTGTCAGAAATGTTCTCTGGTCGATGTCAGGCAATAGTAAAATGATTCACCTCTGTATTTCAGCGAACAGAACAGTGTGTTTAATTACTAACTTAAAGATTCTGCTTCCTGTTTTGCTTATTAACACTATCAACTTAGGGAGTTACTATTCCAACCTTCCTGCAGAAGAATCCTGAACCCAAGGTTTGGCAAGTGCACCAAGTGAAGTTACTCATTTTTAGTGGTGGTGCTTTTATAGCATGAGTAGTCACAAAACCAGGTTTTCAAGGACAAGTATTAATCAAAAATGTATTAAAACTTACATTTTGAGTTTATATTGGGCAACTGCCAGCACAGTGAGGAACTGATGATGGCTGAAGTCTATGTGAATTTAGGATTCTGAATTATCACAATTAGTCATAACAAATTTCATAACGCTTGCCTGTTTTCAAACATGCTGTCTAGTCCTATTATCTATTATAGACCATATAATTTTTTCACTTGTATGGAAGCTTAATTGAGTTACATATTTTAGTATCTTGGCTTTTAATATTTTCATTTGCCTCAAGAAGCTTTCTGATATACAAAATTAAAAATAGCAGTCATAAACCTTTACTTAGGAGAATATTCATTCAAACTCAAGTGCATGGGCTATTACAGATTACTAAATACAGAACTGGTCAACATATCCATATTGTTTAGAAATTTCACCTGACAAATTCAGAAAGAAGTTTATGCAATATGAAAACACAACAGCAGACCTGATAAAGAAGGCAGGTGATTCCTGTCCTCCTACATTTTAGATCAAAAGAATGTTGAAGAACCGGAATCATTTACCTTACGTGGAGGTTGAATGATAAAAGTATGTTCAGCATTGTAAAAGGACAGACTTGTATGTAAGGCAGAGTGGTAACTCCTGTTTTCCTATTCAACTAAAGACAGCTAGTTTCATGGTCAGGACCAATAATACAAGGTGAGCCATCTGTACTGTCACTGCAGCTCTAATAAATCACTTTGAAGGGCTCAGGGTTTACACGATACAAGACTGGCCCTCACTTTTGTCTAAAAAGGCAAGTCCCAGTCCTTTTTATAAGGCCCTTCAAAACTGTATGTGACAAAATAATTGTTTATCCTTTGTCACATCAGTGTAAAATTAGAGGAGATGGAATGTTCTTTACTTGAAGAAAAAGAAAAACACTTGGAAATTATTTAACAGCAGCTCATAATGTTGGTTTCTGTATTTGATGGCTGTAAGAAACAAGGAAGGTGTGACCTAGGAGCAGCTGGAAGGCTCTGCCTAGCTCTGGTGGTAACTCTACTGTGTCTCTTTTGTGCCTGGCGTGGTAGTGGACGGACAGTGGCAGGAGTGGAGCTCGTGGAGCCAGTGCTCAGTGACCTGCTCCAATGGTACCCAGCAGCGCAGTCGGCAGTGCACGGCGGCAGCGCACGGCGGCTCCGAGTGCAGAGGGCCCTGGGCAGAGAGCAGGGAGTGCTACAACCCCGAGTGCACCGGTGAGTACTGCACAGCTCTGTCCAGCTCTGGACAGGCACAGGGGCACAGCCTGCGTGCTGGTTTGGGCTGAAGTAGAGTTAACTTTCTTCACAGTGGCGGGGCTACGTTTGGGTTTTGTGCAGAACACATAGTTGATAATGCAGAGATGTTTTTGTTATTGCTGAGCAGAGCTTACACAGAGTGAAGGCCTTTACTGTGTTCCGTACTGCCACGCTGGCAAGGAAGTTGGGGATGCATGGGAGATTGGGAGGAGACACAGCTGGGACAGGTGACCCAAACTGACCAAAGGGATATTCCACACCATAGCACATCATGCTCAGTATATAAATTGGGAGGAAGAAGGGGGAAGGGGGGACATCTGGAGTGATGGCGTCTGTCTTCCCAAGGAACCGTTACACATGATGGTCCCTGCTCTCCTGGAGATGCTGAACACCTCCCATCCATGGGAAGCAGTGTATTAATTCCTTGTTTTGCTTTGCTTGTGTGTGTGGCTTTTGCTTTCTCTATTAAATTGTGTTTATTTCAACCCATGAACTTTTCTAGCTTTTACCCTTCCCATTCTCTCCCCCATCCCATTGGTGGGGGAGAGTGTGAGTGACTGTGTGGTTCTTTGCTGCTGCCTGGGGTTAAACCGCGACAGCCTGGCAGCAGCTCTGAGCTGGAGCAGGGGCACATGGCAGGCTGCAAAGGGCAGAGCAACCACCCCCAAAAGGGTGAGTTAAAAAGCTAATGGATATGCCCAGACAAGACTGCACAATAGACTGCACATCAGCTTTTTGGGTTTTATTGCTGTTTAAAGGACATTCAACAGTTTTAGATAGATATGCTTGAAGCCTAAAAAGCTTATGTTGTTCATGAACCTAGAAAGTGAATGAGTATGACCTGATTCCCTTTAGTGCTGAGCCTACTTCTTGATGCTCTGACAGTATGAAAACAGCCTGCCAGGGTGTGCAGATTACATGTGTATTTACCTTTAATCCTCATTTGCTCTGCCAGAACATGTAGAAATCAAGACCTTAAAATATCACATGCAAAAATGTTTTAATTTGGGGTTTTTAAGGGTACTTATGCAAATTGTAAAGGTGTATTGTTATTGTACAGCAACAGTATACAAGTAAATAAAAAACAAAGCTAAAGGGGACAATGTCTGTTTTGCAGTCTAAGTGAAAGTTAATGTGCATCAATTCTTTCGATGTCATCTTGAGTTTCCAGTCATTTAGACTACAATCATAGAATCAACCATAGAATCAACCGAGTTGGAAGAGACCTCAAAGATCATCAAGTCCAATCCTAATAATCCTATATTTAGGAGACAAATAGAGACTTCCCCCTCTTCTGTGAGCCTATTTGTATCACTTCTGCACTGTTAGTTATATCTAGGGTGGCTTTCCTTTCTTATCCAAGTAAAGAACAACCTATATATCTTCCTTTATGACTGTAATCATGTCGCCTCTGTAATTCTATTTTTCCAAACAGCAAATGGCCAGTGGAACCAGTGGGGCCACTGGAGTGGCTGTTCCAAATCCTGCGATGGTGGCTGGGAGAGGCGTATAAGGATCTGTCAAGGTGCTGCTGTGACTGGGCAACAGTGTGAAGGAACTGGAGAGGAAGTTAGACGGTGCAGTGAGCAGAGGTGTCCAGGTGAGATGAAAATATAATCAAGTGTTGTTATTTACACTACAATATGGCTTACTTTAATGGATATCTTTAGGAAAGATAAGATCGATGTCTGTGGAGCAATAGTCATAAAGAGCCATATCTGGCCTTGCTTTAGACAAGTCACTGCTGTTTTTCTCAGTAGAGTTGTGTTTATGTAGCTAGGTGTAAATTAGCCCTATTGGATATTTGAGCAGTGCATCATGTTTTAAATAAAGCAAAATACCATAGTAAAAATGTTATCAGAAAAATATTTGATTGCCTAGGAATGCCTATAGTATTTGGAATGCCAGTGATTTGCAACAGAAATTCTCTGTGAACATACTGTTTCTGAGAATATCAGTGCTGGTTTTGGAAATCATAGAAATCCTGCTATAAAGTGTACACGTGATGTCTTTGTAGCACATTTGGGGTAAATTCCAATGCAGTAGAGATATGGGAAAAAGTAAACCTTTCTGTACTGTAGAGAATTGATGAATACATGAGCAACATTTTATAAAGAGGAAAGCAATTTAAAAGGAAAAAAGGTACATTTTTCCTGGTTTAATATAATTCTTACATATATTACTTTGCAGCACTTTTTACTTTGCCCTCCCAACAGATTTGTCTTTCTCACTGAAAGCTCATAAAAGTGTACTTTTGAGCTTCTTCAAAACTGATGAATAAAGAAGAATAACTGGTGTATCAGATAATATTTATCAGGAAAGACACATTGTCCTAAAGTAAAAGAATGCATTGTTGGATAGGTGAAAGATAACAAAATAAGGTGTAAGTAGTATAGAATGTTTTAGCCATTCACTTGGGAAATTATGTGATCTGTACTGCAAGCCAGGAAGCAGCAAAAATCAATCTAGCAATCTCTTTGACTTCTGGACATTTCGATGGCTGTGTTCTCTGATAGTCAGAGAAGGACTTAAATGGCAGGGATGCTTTGGGTGAGGAAATGAGAAATATATCAGATGTGAATTTTATGTTATCAAGCTCACATTTTCATAGGCAGAACGTTTATCCCTTGACAGCCATCAAAGAACAGTTTTCAAGGTATTTGCAGTACAGCAGAACAATGCATTTGAAAACAACAAAAGGTTATTTGTAGCTATAAAGGTATAACACTCTACTGTAAAAGTTAACCAAATTTAGCTTACTTTGCAAATGATCTCTTTAATTTTAATAAAGCATTCATTATTTGGAAAGCAGGACAAAACAGTATTTGTATTGGATTCCTAAACAAGCTGTAATTTCCATAGGTAATGCAGACTTCCTCAATAAAAGCACAACACTAATAGATTAATGTGAACCTTCTCAATAAGCAGACATTCAGATGAACCTTCTTCTGCTTATAAAACCATTCTTGAAATAATTTGCATTTGTATATTTGAAACCAAAACTGTGCTGCTGCAGTCCAATTTTCAAAGGTTGCCACCTGCTGTTAATAAAATATTTTACAGATGTATTTACAAGTCAAATGCACACAGAGCTTTATTTGCCACTTGGTGAATTTATTTATTTACTTGATTAATTCCAGATTAGAGTCAGTATGCTTATAGAAATCATAACCTACAGAACCTTTTAACAAGCTATACTTGTGCAGACGATAATACATGAATAACAGACTTAATTTATCTGTTTCTAGACTGACATTTACTAAAGTGTCTCAGATTTAAATGTAGAGAGTGGATAATTTACCAAAAGGTTATAAACTTATATACAGATTTCCACTCTATAGACACCTAGCAAAATTGGAAAGTACTATACAGAGACAAATGTTCAAAGTACAAGCAAATTTCATTATTTCTATGGGGTTTTTTTCCATATCCCTGTAACAGCTCAGAAAAGCTATTTTGGTCTCAGTGGTTTCTTTTCCTGTTTAAGTCATTGAGAAACATGAGAAACTAAAATGTTGATTTTTTTTTTCCTTATTTTAGCATTGCTTTGCGTAAGACCAGATCCTCAGCTCTGTAGTCCTGTGTAATATTTAATAAGCAGCACTTAAGAAATCAGGCTCAGAACTATTATTTGAAAGTTGATTTCTCAACAGCTTGGTTTTGGGACAAGTGTTGAGTATCTTTCTTTGTGATCTCTTTTTATTCACAGTTATAAATTTTAAAATTGTTGTTTTTTTCCCCTCCATTGTGCAATATTCTGGCAATGAAAAACAAAGATCCAAAGATATTTTGTTTTCAGTCATTGCTCCTTTGTTGCATCCCAAATGTCTAAAGTTACATTTCATTCCTAGTAGGTCAGCAGTATTAAGGATTTAATACTCTTCACACAAAGTATTTTTCTGTGAAGGATAACTTCAGAAAATTGGAAACAAATCAGAGAAAGTACAAAACCTTCTAGATTTGCCAAGTGGCTAGTCACACAGGAGTCACCACAGAATTACACAGGATGATTGAACAATAGGTCTGTCCCATAAAAATAATGGAGGCAGCTAGGTAACAAAAGAAATTGCAGTAGATACCTGATAAGGACTTACGTGGCAAGTTGATCAGAAACTTTTAGAAGAATGTGTAAAAGAAATCAGGTAATTTCCATCAAATGTGTCAGTAAAAACTAAGACATGTGAGAACTGAGAACAAAGTAGAGCATTATTCAGGATAGAAGACTTCTGTAAATCTACTTTTATAAAAATACGACCATGCTCTTATGACAGCTTTAAGAATATATTATGTTCAAATAATATGGTATTGGTTTCCAGAAATACTTAATTCCATAATGGTTATATCTGTATTAGCTCTCTCTATGTTTCCAATACTAATGCTTTACCCTGATATTACTTAAAAGAGATTCTCAACACTTTTCTCTGAAGTGTATTTTCAATGATAGAAAACCTCATATAGGAACAGTTTAGACAAAATTACTGCTGAAAACAGTGCTAGACTATCTTGTTTGTCAACAAAAAGACAATAAGTTATGCTGAAGACTAGCTAATGATGTCCTACTAATAACTTCTGCTGAAGACTAGCTAATGATGTCCTACTGAAGGTAGAAAGTTTCCTCAGAGTGATGCCAGCTACATGAGAAGGGAGAAGATTCAAACAATTGGCAACAACTAGATAATAAAATTAAACCTTTGATTTTTGTTTTGTCTCTGATTGCAGCACTATGCTGCAAGATGTTCAAAAGCTTTTTTCTGTTGCCTTTGTTTAAGATAATTTTGCCGGTGATATTGAATTAGGGTTCAAGAGGGGAGTTGTAGTTCCACCATAATCTGAGCTATGGCATGCTGTTGGCTAACTTGTTCCACCCTTTCATTACTCTTTTTGTTAGCTGTCTAGGTAGGTGGTAAACTCTGTGAGGTTGTGCTTGTCTCTTGCTTTTTCTGTGTGTTGTACAGAGTTTCCTCAGATCCCAAATGGGTTGACTTCCTCTTGGAGATGAACATCCTCTCACCAGTAATGTCAAAGGAAGACTGTGCTTCTAAACCATTGACTGTTTATTTCTTGTGCTTAGGTGGGATGAACTCAGGCCTATCATTACAGGGGTATAATATGGCAAATTTGAGTACATGCTCTATGTGGGAAGATATTGCTGAATCACATCATCAGTGAAAGAGAGATCTACTTTTGACTTGCCAATTTTAGCACATACACCTCAGTATTTGCTGTTTGCTTCTAAATTTTAGCATTTCTCTATGGTTTTGTACAGGAAACTCATATTTATCTGTGGATGTGTTATGAATTAATTGTTCCAGAGTTACAGAAATACTTGAACTGGTCCTGAGCAGAGCCAGTAGAGTCAACGAGGCCTTTTAACTCAAAGATGATACCACTCTGGTGTAACTGTAATGTCTTCATAAGCAACATGGGTTGGAGCCTCACAGATGCTTTAATGTGGGTGGATGCCTGATGAGTAAGCTCTGTCAGATATACTTTAGGTTTGGGAAGAACTGGTTTGTATTTTATGCACAGCATTCTTTGAACCAAGGTATTTGTACAAGGCATTGAAAGGCCAAGAGTCAGTCAGGGACCAGGAAAAGTTCTTTTCCTGGGCTAAATGATAACTCTTCAAACTTCTGACTTGCTCCCACACCTCTTTCCTGGTAACTCTGGGTCTTAGGAGTGCTTTTTATTTTGAACTCAACACACAGGTGCACAGATTATCCCTGACACAATGCTAAACTTAAAATATAGTCTTGAATTCTGAAAACTGTGATGCAAAAGCAAACCAATACCCTTCCAAATAGGTGGGAAATCTCTGATATTACCTGTGACTTCCTAACATAAAAGAGAAAATATGTTGCATGTAAGTGTGCATATGTATGCATGTACATATTTCTTTTCAGAAAAAAACACATTTAACTTTCAGTATATGAAGGGAAGTAAGAGTTTTAGTTCTGGGAATCAACACCTAAAGTGTTGATCAGTGAATGCTTGAAATGACCACAGCTGCATGACAAATATACTTCTCAAAGAGATCTAAGCTTTAGCAAATGTATGTAATTTACAATATTACCTCCTTATTATGTTAATTTACGCTTTCCAAAACAGAACATTTCTTTTGTTTATAAGGTTGTAATAGAGTGGTAATTGCATTTGCTTATGTCACCAGATGGTTTCTGTTTATCAAAATCTGGCTTTTCCCATTGTAGCACTGCTCTGATGTATCCTCTCTTCGGGTATGTCTGAAGCAGGGCTAGTATTCTACATTATGAATATGACTGACTTTCTTTGGGTTTTGCCGTTAATGGATCTCTTGCTTTTTTAGCAGCACCAACTGTCTTGATTTACGATTCAGGATGGCTGATGGTGAAGCAAATTTAGCAAGCAATTTTTCTGCCCAACTGTGATTCATATTAGTATTACTGAGCCATCTGCTAGGTATTCTTTGTCCTCTGCAAAGAGAGGGTAGAGCTTTGTGCAAAAGTCTACTCAGTTCCCTTGCTCACACTCCCGTCAGCAGAAGTAAAAAACTAGGAAGATGGACGATTTTATGGGTTTAGATAATGGGATGGGCAAAATCTGTAGTCGGTTCCTGCCTCTGCTCGAGATTTCCCATGCAGCCATGGGTGAATCATTGAATTGCTTTCTGCCTTATCACACCATCTGCTAAAGTGAATTTTCTTTCTCTTTTCTTTTTTCTTGTTTTGTAACCACTTTGCTGTATACTTTTTTTTGCTGGAAATACATATAATAAACAATTCTTGGCTTTTCTCTGCTGAACTTGGAACAAATTAGATTTCAGTAACTAGCATGTCAGTGCTGTAAGTTGTGAGATTACTACAGCCAGATGTTTTCTGTGTTAATCTAATTTACTCAAAAATCATAAACTGTGAAATGCAGTAAAATACAAAGAGCAAAAAGAAACTGTAGTCTTGACCATGTGAAAATAAAACATGAAGCATTTTCTGAAGCTGCCTTTTTCCTCGTGCAGTTCTGTTACAACAAAATTGTGACAATATTTTTTCCCTTTAAATGGTATTGCAATAACCAGTAAAAGGTCATTGTGCTTTATAACCACTCAGTCCCACATTATTGACTATACTTGCTTAATTACCAACTTGTACTGAAACACATTTCAAAGAAATAACCTGCTTTTTGGTCCTCAGAATATACAGCTCTCATTCAGCACCTTTACCACATTTAGTGTTGCAACTGTGTTTTCAGAACAGATTCTTTCACATACTGATTCAATGTTAGAAAAATCTTTACAAATTTTAGTGTAAAATAAGCATCATAGTTTATGACATTTTAAGTATGATCATCTCCTGATAGATGCTTACTGTTATTGGTCAAAACAGAGCAACAAGGAAATATTCAAGCAACATTGCAGCCACAACCTAAAGAGTGCTCGTTTGCTGAAGAGTATAAGGGCACAGGTTATATGGAATAAATGCCATCACAAAGACAGATATTATGGAAAAATTGCAGGGTTCTCATTGTTGCATCTTTGTACTTCAAACTTAAACCAAATTATGTTAATGTACACATCTCGGGAAAATCAGGATAAAATTCAACACTTAATTTTCTGGTATGAAATACTTGTTTTATGTCAATGTCTCTATTTAAATTCTCATTTCTAAATGACAGCACCTTATGAAATATGTCCTGAAGACTATTTGATGTCAATGGTGTGGAAAAGGACCCCAGCTGGGGACATGGCATTCAATCGATGTCCTCTCAATGCCACAGGTACAGTACTACTTTGAAATTTAATGATGATAAAAAAGGGGAGAAATATTTTGCAGTGTCCAAGTAAAATCATTACTAGACTCCTAAGTATGCATATATGTGAATAAATCTATATAAACCCCACATTTATTTATGCATATGCATGCATATATATGTATGTCCATATACTGTCTCTTGTAGCTTACATATATGCATGGGTCTGTAGTATGTATATTTAAGTATACACATACATATATATGCATTATAGCCAGAGAGAAAAAGCTGAGAAGAAATCAGTTCAACTAGACCTATCAGGTGATGAAAATGAAGCAAAACATAAAAATCCTTTTTAATTAAGAAAACCCTGCTAAAAAGCCATCAAGTAAACATTGACACGTTTCAGAATCTTATACTATCTACATGCTGATGATCATTGCATGACATTCTTTCTCTGTGTACTTTTAAAATAGCATGGAATACAGTTTAAATAAGCTTCATCCTTTCCAATTGCTCTCACTTATATAAATATTTTCTGTCTTCTTTGTGTCTTACAGGCACCACTAGCAGACGCTGCTCTCTCAGTGTTCATGGAGTGGCCTTTTGGGAACATCCAAGCTTTGCTAGATGCATATCAAATGAGTACAGACACTTGCAGCATTCAGTAGGTGCAAAGCCAGCTTTAGTACTTGCTCTGTTTATTCATTACTAATCATTGATGTGAAAAAAAACCCTTCTTATTTACTCTTAGATTTCTGATAAGAAATACTAGGAGGAAAACAGACCTGAGAAAGAATAATTTATATTAATGGATATTATTTCGATCCTGCATATTGCTGGTGTTTGTGAAATAAGCTTTGTCTTACTGTAGACATGGAAAAACGAGTCAGATTCCCTTCTTTCATGTCTACTGTGTAAAGTTTTTTTTTGGGGGGGTCAGAAGTAAGACATATTTTGGTTTATTAGAAAATGAGATTGGAATAAATGAGATTTACTGCAAGAGTGGCTTGCTGAGAATTTTATAATACCTTGGATTCTTTAATTGCAGCCTAGGAAGTCAGGAACGATATTTCTTTTTGCTATCATATTTAGAACTTCACCTTCAAATGTAACAATAGGAGTTGATTATAGGGTAAAGCTATTGCAGTGCCTTGGAAAAAGTGAAGTAACTCTAGGTTAAAAAATATTCTATGTTTTTTTTTCAGTATGCCTAACAAAAAGTTTCTTTGCAAAGCATATGCATTTTACATTTATCTACTGTCTAAATGTGTTTATATGCAGAGATGCAATATATTGCATATATTGCAGTATAAATATACTGCCATGGTATATGCTAGGTATATTGGTTACACTCTATTTCCATAGCCAAAGCATTCAACCAAGTTAATTCTAATAGTGGGAAGCATGTCTTTGAAGATTCTCATGGACAATGGGTTTTTCCTGCATGATATATTTTACTGATATTCTTATTACTCTGTCTCCTTTTTGAAAGGCCACTGCTCCATTTATCATTCAGCAGAGGGACACTAATATAGCTCTGTGCTTCATAACTTCCCAACCTTTCAACCAAGTGCAACACTTCTGTAACACGTTTAAAAATCTTTGGTGGCTTGAAAAGCAGTAGCCTGGTGGTAATTCCTCAAATCTGGATTGCTACTTAGAGGAGATTTTGATGAATTCCTTTGAGCTGCATTTCTGTTTCATTAGATCCAACTTAATTGAGGCCTGGGATTCAGTTTCAGGGCTAGGCCAAAGCAAGAATTATTTTAAAATAGATTAAATTAGATTTTAAAATAGATTGTCAAAGGAATTTTCTCCACTGCATAGAAACTTTTCTATTTTATATAGCTGTGTGCATGTTGGTCTCTCCCTTTAGCATTCTTGGTCAAAAAACACATTACGTTGGCTGTATCTGTTTTGCACTTAATATTTTTGGTATTTTATTCTTTTGTAAGAACTGCATATATTGTGTCTATGTTAGTTTGCAACAGTGGGAAATGCTGTTTATGCTATTTACTGCTTTAACTTGCCTGGCTAACTTTTGGTGAGGCACTGATAATTTTTTAAGAGCTGCAAGTCTGCCTGGCAGGAAGGGGTCATTGTTGGACAAAAGAAGGTATTTCTAACCCAGATCAGATTTATCCTTTCTTCTCTATTTCCTATTTCAAGATATTAAGTATGATTAGGCCACGCTGTGAAATAATCATTTTGCCAAAGAACATTCAAAAATAGGTAAAGCTTCTTTAAAATTACACAAGAACATAAACAGATCTTATTGCTGCACAAAATCTCAGTCTGCTTTATATACATACAAATTAAAGAAGAAAAGTGGATTTCTTTCACACTTAGGAGCTGTTCACAAAGGAAATTGGCCTGTCTTACATCTTACTGCTTCTCAAAGTGAACAACACAGCTTATTTAAAGAATCAGAGAAAATAGAGATAAAGACCTATAAGGTCATTGCCCTGCAAATGTAGGCTTGTCCCCCCACGATACATATGTCAGTTCCATAAATCCCTGAAAATAGGGCTTTATAAGGAAGCTGCTGACAGACGGTGTTGCTATAATAAATATGTGTGCTTATGAAAGCATTTAGGAGATGCCTCAGTGTGCTTAACTTACCAAAAAAGTTATTTTACCAACTCAGACCAGGACTAGTGGGGGGCGTCACTCAGTCCTGTGAACATTCCCATAAATTCTGAGTCTGATATGAATCCCTTTTATTTCTTATCTGAAAAAACATAAAACTAGGTGCATATACTTCAAAAAACGTTGCTTCTGAAGTTGATGTAAGGCAGTTGATATACATACATACAATATTTGATACATTAAAGCATAGAATACAGACAGGTCCTTGTCTCTCTGCCCTCTGAATAAGCCACATATGATCCAGAACCAGCCCGAAAATCACACAGTAGAATTCACATGGTGGTGTGCCTAAGAAAATACTCTCTAAAGAAAAGAGTTATATATGATAGGAGCTAGAGATGGGAGCCTTGGCATAAAACTAGTATACTTCAAAAAACGTTGCTTCTGAAGTTGATGTAAGGCAGTTGATATACATACATACAATATTTGATACATTAAAGCATAGAATACAGACAGGTCCTTGTCTCTCTGCCCTCTGAATAAGCCACATATGATCCAGAACCAGCCCGAAAATCACACAGTAGAATTCACATGGTGGTGTGCCTAAGAAAATACTCTCTAAAGAAAAGAGTTAAACGTTGCTTCTGAAGTTGATGTAAGGCAGTTGATATACATACATACAATATTTGATACATTAAAGCATAGAATACAGACAGGTCCTTGTCTCTCTGCCCTCTGAATAAGCCACATATGATCCAGAACCAGCCCGAAAATCACACAGTAGAATTCACATGGTGGTGTGCCTAAGAAAATACTCTCTAAAGAAAAGAGTTATATATGATAGGAGCTAGAGATGGGAGCCTTGGCCACAGACCCTGCTAACCTGGCTACACAGGAGCTGGATTAGAAGCTTACAGATACACCCATAAATAAACTAAACAGGGTGAGTGCCCAAGCTTAAAAACTGTCCTTGTAGTCAGCTACACTGCTTAACTGTGTAGCAGTTAGCATGTTCCCCGACGTGATTTAAGACTGTACCAGTGAGCACTCTCCCAAACAATGCCTACCATCCTTTGGAGGATAGCGTAGCAGGGAGACCATTGTCAGCAGGCAACGAAACCATCGTTTTCTGGGACAGAGAAGGGATAGAATTTAGCTTGAGGGAACCAGAATCCTTTGCTATATATAGTGTAGAATTTTATCACATAACCACAGGTGATTGATCCTTGATGGCTGCTTCCTTACTGTATGTAACTACAGTAGATTCACTGCCTCCTGCACAAAGCTTCTTGTATTTTTATGGTTTTCCCTATTACTCACCTGGAAGTGACATGGGACAAATTTCAACCCTTAGTAAGCAGTATTAAAGTAACAGAAACCCAGCTAGTGCTGCGTGTTCTTCAGCTTGACTCAAGACTTGTATTGAGACCAATATGGTAGCTCTATAAATCATGCTAAAATGTCACTATCTTTTCATCTCAAAATCCATTTGGAAGTCTATTTGCAAAGATGAAGAGTCAGTAAAGTTAAAAATACACCCATAATGCTAAAGATAATATATTTTGCTCATAACCACCAGCACCATGAATAATTTAGCTCTTTTTCCAGTCACATACAAAATGTGCCAGGCAGACTTATTGCCTCTACCCAGGGTAGACATGGCCTGGCACTTCAGATGTAGGGTGTGGCAGTTCAGAAGAAAGCAGGGGTTTCCATTGCTTAAGTGATGTTGTCTAGATTTGTGGACCATTTTTAGATATATATGTCAGTATTATACTTATTATTGTATTGAAACAATTTCAGAGTAATTCACAATCTTAAATTAATATATCTCCTCAATATATGCTTGAGATCACTCTCTACTACATAGCCAGTTTTTGGTGATGGGGATCTGAGTGAGACCAATTAAGTAGGAAATTTATCTCCAGTCTTCTGAATTAGTGCCTAGTCACTCTTCCTTCTTAATGTTGCTACTTCTCCATAGGACAGCACAGAATATCCCTGGCATGGTGAAAATATAGTAACTGCAGGGTCCCTGAAGAGACTATGCACTGGAACATGATGAAACAATGAAGGGGAATGGTTTGACTTGTGAAGATTGGCAGTCAGTTTATGTCTTTCAAGGGCACAGAGCCCTACACAATTCATGTCTAGGAGCTTGAGTAAAAACAGCTAAGAGGATGATGCACTTCAGCTATGCCACAGATGTACAGCCTGTACTTCTGTTAGTTTATCTTACCTTGTGCACTATGGAATGCAGGTTCCTTTTAAAACTAGGGATGATAATTAGATCTCTTTGAATAACGGAACCAATTAGTCATGAATAATTTATCCAATATTTGGTACAAATCAGTCATCAAATGAATTCAGCAAATACTGTTTGACCAGCTTATACAGCTGGTTGACTAATATGAACATTTATTCACTGAACAAATTAATTGACAAAAATGCCCAAATCCATGAAATAAACCTTTGGGAAATTATTTGCTTAGCTCTAATAATACTACTTAAAGAACCTAATTAGGATTATTCTGCCTAAAGCACTCTAAGTGGAAAATGCAAAGTGATAGGTAGGTAAACTTTGCCTTCTGGAATCAAAACCTAGAAGATCAAGCAAAAACTTGATGAACAGAAAAAGAAACATCACAGATTATATACCAGATTTTGTTATGTTTTTCTTGCATTGTCCTAATGTGTTTGTAGCACCTGCAGCTTTGTAGTAGGAAAGTGTTCTTAGTCAAGCATGGTGTTTCAGGACTGGTACTAGTCATCTTAGCATCTAAGAAGGAATATTTTGCCCAGTGATGTCCAATATGTTAAATAAATTCTTGAGAAAGAGGAGATTGCAACAAAGAAATTCTTTGAAGTGTCTTTTTTTAATTGTGGTTGGGGATGTAGTGAAGACATAAGGTTTAATAAGTTCTAGTGGCAGGGGATACCCTTTCTTCAGTTCCTTCAGGATAGTTCTTGGTCACATACTGGTCACCAGATTTCAGTTAATAGGGAGGAATTTCCTTGCTTTCTCTAATTCCAGATTAAATTCTCAGAATTTGGAGGTTTTTATCCCCTCTGTGG